CAATTTTTATTTATAGAATTGTTGGCAGAATGAATTTGAATAATATTTTAATTACATTTCTGTGTCATCCACTATAGTTTGAGCTGACAGACATTGTAACATATTTATCTTTGCATTCTTGGTGCTAGGCATTGCACCAATTGTGATGTCCAATAAATATTCAAAGAAGAAAGGAAGTCAGAGATTCTTTTTTTACAATCAATTGATCACTTGTTGATTCTTATGATAAAGTCATTTGGAATCAGGACTCTAAGTTAGGCCAAACATTATTTTGATTTCTTTTCCAGATGACCAGTTTTTAATTTGTTAGTTTTTTTTTTCCTTTTCTAATTTTTCATTTTAGTAACTTTTAAAGAATTTTTTTCAATTTTTTTTTCACTCCCACAAACTGGGTATCCCAGCACTAGTTGCAGTGCATTAAGTCACATGTCAAATATAACCAATGTCCTGTAATCAACCATCATGTGTGGGTCAGTGCTGTGTCTAAAGTAAATATATATGTTACGTCAACTCTGCTCTTGATCTTGCTATCTAGCAGGGGTGTCAAACCATAACTAAAAAATTCAATAAGTTTAAGTAAGCAACAGAAGAGAGGGAATAAGTGACTATGTGATTATTTTTCAAGTGAATAAGAACTGTAGGTGTCCAGAGAAGGAGCAATTACTTCCCTTAAGGTTAGGGTTAATAGTCCTTGTATTACTTGTACAAAGTCTTGAATTATGAGTAGCATTAAAAGAGACAGAGAAGAGAAGTAAAATATTCCATGTGGATGGAGCAATCTGAAGAAGATGCAGGGTGTGCTTGGGGAGACAACAAACTTGTCTCTGGATTCCAGGGGTCATGTATAGCTTTGAAGTTGTCTGGCAAAGTAAGAGTAGGAAAGTTTATAGAAAGTCCAAATGAGAAAGCAGAGTTTAAGGTTGCTTTCACATCTGACCATTTCTATGTTTTGCACATGACTACAAAGAGACTAATTTTGGAAGCCAGGAACAAAAAAAATCAGAACCAATATTTGAAGCTCACTATGGTAGGTTGTTGAGTGAAAGCTTCTAGGCTTGAAGTTGAATCACAGAGTGGATTCAAAGGCCTACAAATCCTGAGTATGTGAAGGTAAGCCTCCTTAAAGGCCAGGCTATATTGGCTGGAAGACCAATGAGCTACTAAAGACAAAATTCCCATTTAGAGACAAGTTTGAAAGTAACACACTAGGTATACAGCATATGCTTTCAACTCATTTTTTTATTTCATTTTATTTTTTTACCTTTATTGTTGAAAGTATTACTGATGTTCCCTTTGTTTGTCTGCATTTTTCCCCCATTGACACCCTCCACCTCATACCCGCCCCTCCCAGGTCTTCATCACTCTATTGTCTGAGTCCATGGGGAACTTATATGCATAACCCATCAATTCATTTTTTAATATTTCAAAATGGGATGGGAGAAATATACTCCCTAAAGTTAGAAATGTCTGACTTTGTGAAAGTAGTTACTGGCTCTTACTGTGGGACTTTGGGTAAATTTCCTTAACTTCTCTGAGCCAAAATTTCCTGGTTAATAAAATGAAATATATTTATTTTGGGGATCAATATTGCAAGGGTTAATTGATCATTGAGCTCAGTGTGTCTAGGACTAGCATTTCATAAATGAGAGATTTTCTTGCGTTTTCCCCTCCTTTCTCAACTGGCTTAGGTTTTGGACATCTGTTGTCCTTTTTAGACCCCTATTCTGATATCCATGTGCAATTTCCTTCAGCACATGTTGTTTCCTTTCTTATGCTGTCCTTTCCTGTGCCATTGACTTTATACCTCCTATGCCACAGTATAAACTTCTTAAATATAGGACATAGGTGTCCTGCATCCATCATCACCTCCAAGATTGAGCAGGAACTGAATAATATGGGGTGAGTGAATCAATGATCAAAGTCCTCACTAGCACTAAGTAAAACATTTCATAAGTTAATGCTAAAAAAGTTGCTAGAGAGAAATAATCCAGTTCAATATTTTTTATGTTTATTTCTTCAATTGTTTCAAATAGAATATTTGTGGACAAAGAGTCACTTTTCCTCCCTAGTAGTTTTATTTTAAAAGTCAAGCAATGGAGGAAAGACACTTTACTTATATCATAAGATTTTCATACAATTACAACATTGTCTTATTTCTTTTTTTTAAGCTATAAAGTGTATTTTTACAACTATCCAATATGTGACCTAAATGTTGATTTCATCAAATGAAATATATCTGAACATACCCACTACATGATATGCACAGGAAAAGACACAGAGATCAAGCAATACTTTCATACCAGAATTCAAGATATTAAGTAGCAAGGAAGTACAGTGGCATTGAAGGCTGAGGTGAAGTACAAGAGTCAATAAGGTAAAGAGAGCAGACATTTCAAGGATGTACCCAGATAACACCAGTTCTTAAGTCTCAAATTATTTCCAGAAAAATAATGTTCGTGCATTTCTGTTGAAGCAGAAGTCAGTTTCAGGATGTGGCTTCTACAAATCTGTAGATTGAGAGTTAAGTAGGTTAATTTGATTAGGGTCAGACTCAAGATTTCTAAAACACACACTGAAGGATAAACAAACTAGGGAAGCATGCTTCACAAAGCTGAATTCAGTGTAATTAGTCCTTCATTCCGAGACTTCATTTTTATCTTGAATGTTCTTCCACATTTTGCTTGCAGATGTTGCAGTAAATCTATATATATAAAAGCCTAAGCAACTGTTATGAATGGAGGACCTGACAGCTGGTCAGTAGCTATGATGTGCACTGGCCACCAGGGGGCAGATGCTCAATGCAGGAGCTGCCCCCTGGTGGCCAGTGCACTCCCACAGCCAACCTCCTGAGGACAGCCAACCTCCTGTGGTCCCTTCCCCCACCCCCCACTCCCACCCCCCAGCTGTCCAGGCCGAGGGACCCCACTCATGCACGAATTCGTGCAGCAGGCCTCTAGTAAAGTGAATAAAGTTGTTTGCATGGAAAAAAATACAATAACTAATAAATAATAATAGAAGAATAAACTCTGTTTGGGGTACTCATAGCTGTAAACCTACTTTTCCCTACTCCTGTATATGACAAAATCATAATGAAAAGCATATTAAATCCCAATCTAGAAAACAAGCCTGTGTAAGTGGCTATGACACAATTCTTCTGTTTTATTTCTTAGAAATTATTAAGCATAGTGGTTTTTGTTTAGATAATGACTGTATATTAAGTCTTAGAGCAGTGAAAGCAAGCAACCTGTGCTGACTCATCTATATATATAAAAGGCTAATATGCAAAGTGTCTCCTTGGGAGTTCGACCACTTGCCATGATGTGCACTGACTACTAGGGGGTGGCACAGAACAAAGGAAGGCCCTGACTGGCAGCGGCAGCCAAGGAAGGGAGGCCCCGGCCGGCATCCAGAAGGCCCCAATTGGCCCTGATCGCTGGCCAGGCCTAGGGACCCTGTGCACGAATTTCATGCACTGGGCCTCTAGTCATGTTATAAACATCTTTAACAAAGTAACATGGAAAGGTGGAAGTCAGAGACACAACACAAAAAAATTGCTTCCTCTGTACAGAACACATTCTTGAACTTGCCAAAACTGGAAAAAGTAGGTAGAGGGGGTGATACTTTACTACTTACTCATAAAAATTAGCTTCTATGTTAAAAAGAAAGAACCATCTCTGTCGGTCCCCGGCTTTCATCATAAAGTTAGCATCCTCTACACTTGGCAGCTCAACAGGGCACATCACATGGTGGTGCTCCAGGTTCCTTAAAAAACACATTTGGGCATATTATCAGGATTACATCCTCCCTAGTGTTCCAGTGCCTGCTGCCTACCAACATATATCACAGACAGATGCCCCACAGCCTGGTGAGATCCAGCTAGCTTTCCCTGCATCAGATTCTTTAGAGAACTATGATGGGAACAACTCATGGAAACGTGGCAACGGAATCCAAAAGTTGCAGCTGGGGACACTTCTTCCCTTAGCTCCTAAAAGTAGTCTCTTCAAGCCCCAAATGTACTTACCTGCCACCACAAACCCTGGGCCCTGTCCCTCCGCAGCCCTGACTCCCACACGGTATCGCTCCACGCAGAGCCGCCCACCACTCCCACTTCGCCTGGGGTCCGCCCTGAAAGCAGGTGTACACCCGTCCTTTTACCTTCGTGGGCCCAGCTACTCTGCGGACGTCTTTAACTCAGCAGCCCAGCTGGGAGCCAAGCGATGGGTTGGGCACCCACAAGCCATCACAGGCGAGATGGACCTCCCTGCAGGTCCCCGTGCTGGCTGTTTCTCTGTTCATAGCCGCTTTGAACCGCAATCTCTCTCTTGCTTGATAAAGGGATTTTTCTCTGTTGTCAATTTGAAAACTAATATATATAATATATATGAAGAATGCTAATAAGTATGTAAAATATGTACATCAACTAAAATTTGAATTTGCAAATTAACTTTCTGAAGCCATCCAGGTTCTATTAGGGGAGAAAAATAACCCAGCAGACCATTTATTCAGTAAATGGACCTGTTGCATTACTTCAGCCTGTGCTATTGCTGCCCCAATGTTTAAGTACCTGACTTCCTGCTAACCAGATGCTGGCACCTTAGGGAGAATTTAGCCACTGTTTTGCAGTGGATTAAACAATGATACATCTGTAATACTATCAACAATAAAAATAGATTAATTAATATACATATATATTGCTAAGAGAAATGTCAAAAAAGATATACTTTGCTTTCAATGATCAAAATATCATCACTGCTACATATATATACACACACGTATGTATGTATGTATATGTACATATATGTATATATACAGTATATCCCATTTTTATATTTACAGAGGAAATGAGAGTTCTGTGTGTAATAGAATGCTGTGCTTCTTCCAAATATAGTTACATGAATTGATAAAAATTTGTAATGCAATTAATATGTTCATAGGAAATGCGAACTTGGTTAAGTGTTTGAAAATGAAATCATCCTTTTTTATTGCTTAAATTCTTACAGCTTACCCACACTGGGTAGAAAAGCTCAATGATACTCAGTTGGACAGTGGGAGCCCTCTCCGCTGGGAATGTAAGGCTACTGGGAAACCCAGGCCCACATACCGCTGGCTGAAGAACGGAGTGCCCCTCTTAACTCAGGTACTTTTGGTAACTATTCACTCTCCTGGTGTACTTTTAGCAGGATTACAAATAGGGCAACCTTCTTTTCTTCTTATTGAAATCCATTTCTTACTTAGGCTTTATAATATACGTGGAGTGAGAAATACCACAAATATATAAACAATTTTTAAAAATTTTTACTTATTGATTTTTTAAAATATATTTTTATTGATTTCAGAGAAGAAGGGAGAGGGAGAGAGAGATAAACATCAATGATGAGAGAGAATCATTGATTGGCTGCCTCCTGCATGCCCCCCATTGGGCATCGAGCCCACAACCCGGGCATGTGCCCTGACCCCTTGACTGGGAATTGAACCAGTGACCTCTTGGTTCCTGAGTCCAAGCTCAACCGCGGAGTCACACCATCTGGGCTATTTATTTATTTTTCTATCTATCTATCTATCTATTTATTTATTTATAGCGAGAGAGATATTTGTTGTTTCACTTATTTATGCATTCTTTGGTTGCTTCTTATATGTGCATTGACCAGGGATCTAACCAGTAACCTTGGCATTTCTGGATGCCTCTGCAACCCACTGAGCTACCCAAACAGGGGGACAATTTTTATTTTAATTACACTAGAGTTTTTAAAATAATGCATTGTTTCTTTAAATTGTATTAAATCCTATAAATTCATAGGAAAATATAAATGCTTATCATAGACTCAGTGCCACTTCTAGCTGACTTTTAGACATCATCTAGCTTGTTGCTGTTGCTTTGCAGATGACGGAGACAACCCCAGGTAGTAAAGTGACCTGCCCAAGATCATATATCTAGTAGGGGGACTGGAATAGAACCCTGTATTCTGTGTCCTGGGCAAGTTCTTACTGTGGCATCCTGCTACCCATACATTTAAATATCCTTTTAGGAAATATGCATGTTTATAAAAACAACTTAATATGTACAAAATTTGAAAATAAGTCAATTACTATTTAATTTCAGAATAATAGTAATAATTTTAGCAAACTCTTTCCCTTACTTTTGGCTTTCGCAGGAAAGAGGGCAGGGGGGGATAGTGCACTATTTATGGCCAAAATGGAGGGATATGTATAACGTTAAAATCCTGGGCACAGGTTCTTCCCAGCAGCCTCTTGTCTGTCTTTACCTCTTTGGACTTCAGTTTGCTGCTTTGTAAAATGAAAAGATTAGATCAGATCATCCTTACAGTCCCATCCAGCTCCAACATTCCCTCATTCTAAAGCCAGTTAGGCCAAAACAAATGCAATTACATAAACAGACAGACAAGTAGAGCTGTAGAGCTGTTTAAAAACAAAACAAAACTGAGAGTGAGAGGCTGGGAATCTTTCTCTCTAATTCTCCCACGGATACCAGATACACTTTGAGAAGGGACTGTGCTCCTCATGTTTTCTCCTGCCAGCATCCAAGTCAAGTAAATTCCATCAATTCCACTGGCAGATGATACATCTGCAAAGGGAATGGGTTTATTCTGAAAATGATGCCAAGTTACTTGGCATCTCTGTTGATAATCAAAGCACTGGTCACTGATATTTTAAAAATGATTTACTTGATATTAAGTAGACAAGAAACCTGGTTGTTTAACAACATTTAAAATTTGTTTTTAAATGTGCTCTTGGCCTCTTGGGTAGGGAGTCGATTTACTTCAATTTGCACATGCTCAATTTTCTGTCTCCTGTATTGTTTCTTCTGATTATGAAGTTCATATTTTTTTTTACCAATAATTTTATACAGAATCTAGTTCTAGGGCAGTTTTTTATTTGTGTTATTTTATTGGGAAATGAGAGAAAAGGCAAACTCCTGACCAGATCAATATAGTAAAGGGGTCTTTGTGATGACCTTAGCTATATTTAACCTTGAGTCTATGTATCTCTAGCCTCAATTCTTTCTGCCATGTGAACCCCTGCTTCTCCTTTATAAAATGAATTCAAATAAAAGCTTCATCTGAAGGTTGTTCCTCACAAGCTCAGCTAGTATAGCAAACAAAAGCAGCTCCACTTAAAAACAAAACTAAAAGTAAAACTCGAAGGAACAACTAGAGAAAAATATAGTTATAATTTCTCTCCTAAGAAGTAGTTAGAATTTACATGAGGTCTTATAATACAATAAGGAGCAGTAAATTGTGTTGCTAAGTTGTCAGATAATGTTCAATTGCATTAATTGCAGGCTTTTTTTCTTGGTCTGGCAGATGATAACTGCAGAATCTGTATGATTTGCTCACTTTCTATCTCTAATATTTTTATTCCATTACAGAGTAAGGTTGAGATGGTTAATGGAGTACTGATGATCCACAGCGTGAATCAGTCAGATGCTGGAATGTATCAGTGTTTGGCTGAAAATAAATATGGAGCCATTTATGCAAGTGCTGAGCTGAAAATTCTAGGTATGCAATTTCTAAATAAATCCATGGGAAGAAAGCATGGCTTCTTTCCATGCTCTAATTCTCACTCTACCGAAGTTTTATGGTGTGATTGTAAAAGCCTATTTTTTGGATTGAAAAAAATACTATGTCTTGCTAATATATTATTTTTAAGCTTTAGGGGACAAGTCTACATTGGGTACAGTGTGTGCCATAACTTTTATTATAAGGCTTTTCTAACTTTCGTTTTAATCATAACAGGGTTATACCATACATGTTTTCCATGGCATTAAAGAAATCATAAGAAATATATGTTAACTTTCAAGGAAGGATGTCGGGGGTAGGGAATCAGAATGTAGACTTCCAGCAGCCTCTCCCCGCCCCCTTAGCAATGCTTAATACTTTCCTGAGCGGCTCCTACCTACCAGTAGGCGGGACTCCAGAGTACAGCACCTCCCATCCTGGGCATCACCATGTCCATCCTTGCATAGAATGGAAAGCCTTCCTGAGGCCAGGCGTAGCTGTTTCATAGGGTTGCAGCTTTGATAAGAATGTAACCGGGGCAGTAATACTGTTTCACTATTTAATACAGGAAAGATAAAATCCTGTGGAATAGGCTACCAAGATTGAGCATATTTGGGCTGCTGGAATGGATTTAATTTTTCCTGTTCTGATGATTTTTAAACTTTGGTTCTGGGATGTTTATAATACAAAGGGAGATACTTAGGGGATCTCAATTCACTGCCTCTCCAAAGTGATTAGAAGCCCAAGTGTACTTTCTATTCTCCACTTACATTCCCAAAGCAAGACATTAACAGAAACACCCAAGATCTCAGGAATCTGGGAACTTACCACTTACAAATTAGCTAAATGTAATACTCCATAAGTCAACTTATTAAATTATGAATGCCTAAACTCAAATTTTTTTCTACATTATAACCAAAATAGATACGAGTTTATATTTTAGTCCCCTAAAACTAATCAATAAGATATTAATGTACTTCCTTTTCAGCTTACACTCCATTTCTGAGTTAAAAAGCTGATTCAGCCTTCACTCAGTTAATCTTTTACTCAGAAACACTTAGTCACTAGACACATTTTCAAAATTACCTTTTGTAAGTTCTATTTCCAGGAGGCAATCAAAAATGTTGCCTGTGATTCCCCCATAATATCCTTCACTTTTCTTTCAATTTCTTAACCCTCTCAATTGCATATATATCTTTTTTATGTTGTGTACATATTTTTAATGTTGTTGTGTCATGCATTATATTGCTATGTGATGGACATAAAATGCTTGTGAAATAATCACAAAAGTGTCATCCTGGTACAATAAATATCTCAGATACAGTAGACTTGTAGGTATATCTTTCAGGTTTTCTTTAGATTCAAGTGCTTTTTAAAAATAATTTGCTAGGATCTCTGTGGCATGTATCCTTCAACCACAGCTGCACAGTGAAGTTAACTGTAATCTAAAGTGTCTTGATAAAAATACAATAAAAATAATATTAATGAATGAGCAGACCTAGGTGAATAATTGCAAACAGTGTATTGAAATTTAAATTATTCCATTTCTTAAAAATGTATTTCCATTTCTTAAAAACTGCATTCAATTGTGTATAACACTGAAGTAAAATATGCTTTAGTGAAGACTCACACATAGGAAGTGGATGACAGAATTGTCTTCTCCACAGGGGACCTCCATTTGTCCAGAGGAAGCCCAAAATAGACTTTATTTGCTGACCCCTTCACCTGTTGCCCAAGGTGCTCATTAGTCTTTTGCAATTAAAGTTGATCACCATAATTAAAGCATGTCATTTTTTAAAAAACGGCCTTTGTCTCTGGATTCCACATTTTATGAAACCATCACATACTAATGAAAAGGACAACCAATAAGATAGCTATTAATTAAAAAAATTTAAGTGAATGCCTTTTATCTGTGTAAATATTGTATGATTTTATTAGAAATGTAGCCCAGAAGAAAAAGTTGCAAAATATTGATGTATCATACATTCGAGATTCTTGTCATTGCTTCTGGTAGAACTAACATTTTTTTAATAGCTTCAGCTCCCACTTTTGCACTGAATCAGTTGAAGAAAGCAATAATTGTTACCAAAGGCCGGGAAGTCGTCATAGAGTGCAAACCCCAAGGCTCTCCAAAACCAACCATCTCTTGGAAGAAGGGAGACAAAGCAATTAGAGAGAATAAAAGGTTAGACGTCTATTTCATAATCCAAACTCTTAACGTCAAACTTTTTTGAAGTTGCTGATGATACACGCAAAGTATGCAGGAACGAGGCTTGCAGTAATTGTGAAACATATTTTCATGACTAGATTGAAATATGGTTTTGTCTATATAGTGAGTAAAAAGAACCCAAAGGTCTACTTCAATATAGCGAGACGACTTGACCTCTGTGGTGTTTCAGCACCAATTGAGAACTTCACCAGGTTATGAAGAAAGCGAACACTTGTGTTAAGTGAGTTATTTTGAGTTTTCATTTTGGGTCTGCAGAATCGGGGATACCCAAGTGATCTATGATAATTTTTAGAGATTGTGTTCTCATTCCAATTTTAACATTAAAAATAACATAAACACATTCTGGATCTTTTGGATAATTACTTTAAGATGGAACACTTCCAATTAAAATTTGTGCCTATTTGCCTTTCTTTTTGTTTTCAGTAATGTTGATACAAAATAGTACAGGATTTTTCAGTAAACACAGGCAATTGAGAAACGTGCAGAGTAATATGTAATGTGTAAAGATTTATGCCGAAACCGGTTTGGCTCAGTGGATAGAGCGTCAGCCTGCGGACTCAAGGGTCCCAGGTTCGATTCCGGTCAAGGGCATGTACCTGGGTTGCGGGCACATCCCCAGTAGGAGATGTGCAGGAGGCGGCTGATCGATGTTTCTCTCTCATCGATGTTTCTAACTCTCTATCTCTCCCCCTTCCTCTCTGTAAAAAATCAATAAAATATATTAAAAAAAAATAAAAAAAAAATAAAATAAAGATTTGTCTTTGGTAAGTAAACTAAAAGGGCATCACAGAAGTACAAATGAAAAACAGATTAGAGAACCAATGATGAATGTGTGCCTAGGTTAAAAGTCTCATGCTCTTCCAGTTATTGCCATATTGGTGTTGCAAATGGTGACTCAGCTTTGACAAAATAGTATCCTCCAATATATTAAAACAGGGTTGATTATGTTGCCTTAGAGTTTGTTTTTCATTTGATCTGTAATGATGGAGTTTATACCTGATTTTATGTTTGTCTGGGTCTAAGTAATCATATCATTAAATAATTTCAGTCAACATTAGGGGTCCATTTGAATAATTCTTAAAGTAATCTTGGAATATTTGAAATTATTAAAAAATGTTTTCGTTTGCCAATCAAGTTGAAGAAATACTGATTTTAACTGCCTGTGTCTGATGAACTAATTTGTGGAAAAACTAGATTCAGTTTGGGCCCAAGGATCTCTGCTGCCTGGAAAGGGTATCTTCAGAGAGGGATATGGGTAGTATCACTGGGCATCTCATTTTGAAAGGGAATTTATCTTTTAACTCGGAGTAGGGGGCCAGGTGGTGGGCAGAATCACAAACTGCAAGATCTGTGTTGCATATGGCTGAATTACATATGAAGGAATTGAATTGGGGGGGGGGTTGCTGCTTATAGAAATATATTTTAAAACCTGGCACAAACCTTATTCAAGCAGAAGAAACTTTTTTTGTTTGCTTGTTTGTTTTGTTTTTTTGTTTGTTTTTTTTTATTGTGAGAACAAATACTTTACACTGCTTGGTATCATTTTTTCTGAATGTATTGAAATATCTTATATCATCAAAATATATATGCCAGAGCAGTGCAAGCCATCACATTTGAAATGCTTGTTTGTGGGTGGCCCATGCAGCTTGTCCTATTTATTCCAGTTCATCATAGAAAGTTCCTCATCATCTATTCATAGACATCTCACTGTGAGTTTAAAAACTTAGGTGGCATCTCCTCTGTCAAAGCAAATGTATTGAGAGAGGAACAATATTACGGGTTTCCTATTAGAGCAAATATAAACTTTTTATTTTCTGGAAGTTGAAAACAAAGTTGTGAATTTACTAGTTTTCTTGATTGATTTTCTCCTCACTGGTAACCCCTTGGGTTAGGGGGAGACGACACTGGCCTCAAACTCCAACCACTCCTGTTTTCCAGATGTCAATACTTTGGGTCAAAGTACTAGTCAGTGAGGAATCTGAAATAGTTTTGTTTTTATTTATTCAAGTAAAAGCAAGACTTGGCCACATTTGCTTAGCATTTTGCCTACTCAGTTGTGTTTAGGTTTGTAAAGTGGTTTAATTTAACAACTCTGGAGGTATAGTGCATTTTTACAACTAAAATCAACAAGACCACTTGCAAAATACGATTTTTTACTGCTATATGATTTGTTTTCATTTGAGCAATCCCAGATTTCAGGAAGAATACAGTCTAATATATATATATATATATAAAGCCAGCGATCGGAAATGCCATAACAACCTGAATGACCAGTCACTATGATGCCCACTGCAGCCAGCGAACCACCTGATTGGGGTGGGGTGGGCCCGGCTGGCCAACCTCCCGTGGCCCCTCCCCCTGCTGGCCCGCCCCTGATCAGCCTCTCCCACCCTGATGGGGGGCGAGGTGGCCGGCCAGCCCCCCCTCCCCCCTGCATCCCTTCTCCCTTGGCTGGCCCCACCCCTGATCACCCCTGCCTACCCCAATATATAAAAAAAAAAACATTAAACAGTCAAGAATTAAAATAAGAGATTAAAATTTAAATATTAGAATGAATTTCATAAAGCAAAGTAGAAGGCACACATAAATGTATGGAAAACTGAACATTCTAAAATATGAATGGAAACTTGAAAATTAAAATGTCAAATGTATATATCATAATCTCTTTAAGGTAGGATCTCAGTTACATATGCAACTTATATTCTTACAGAAATTTTAGATAACTTCTCTTTATTATAAAGCTCACCAATCATTTGATAAGAGTTGTAAACATAATTTAAATATAAATGGAGATGTTAGAAATCTATTAAAGCTTTGAAAACTGCAAATATATTTCATATTTGGACTACAGACTTAAATTATGGTTTATTGTAAGATAAGTATATTTACGATTTATGTGATATACATTAAATACAGGGTATCCCAAAAAATGTATACACACTTTGAATAATTATTAATTCCAATGGGTTATATCTGAAAAGAAAGAAATATCCATTAAGCAACCAGCTTTAAAGTGTGTATACATTTTTTGGAAACAGCCTGTATGTTCCTCATTCATCCAAACTACAACTGGAAATAAAAAGTTAAATAAATTAGCCTTGTCCATCTTTCACAATGTTCACAGTTTTGGAAGGTTCATTCTAAATTAAATATTGAAAGAGCAAATGGCAGTGTCCTATATGGGCAAATAAAGGCTAGTCTTTTATTTGGGAAAAGTGTTTAAAGAAATATTTAAATGTAAGAAATATAGCGTTTTAAGACAAAATTATATTATGAGCAATGGCATTAAAATATCATGAAATATTTTAATTGCAGGAAAATATCATCTAAACATCTGAAAACATATCAGAAACTCAAAAAGATGAATTTGAATCTAGAATAAATTGCAATTTAATTCTAAACTGTAAACACAATGTTGTAACAACTGAAGGTTAATATTAAATCATTTATTTTATCAACAAACTGCCAAATAACTCATTGGTTTATTTATTTATTTTTTTGCCAAATTTTGGTTGAGTCTTTCAGATTTTATTAGCTTTTGGGGGGGAGTGTCTTTAAAACACAGCATTTTTGTGTGTTTATCTATTTCACTAAGGAAATACATAAGTTGTTATCTTAAAGTTTAAAATTTGATAAGTAATAACTAGAACATAATATGACTTTTAGGAAAAAATTGATTAACAAATAAGTTGCCTGCATATGTATTACAAAATATTTCATTTGTTTGGCCCTAAATGATACATCTAAAATATATAAGAAAATAGATTACATTAGAGCTTGTGAGTTATTTGTAGTTGCTTGCTATTTATATCATAGAATGAGTTGTTTATATGACAGAATTTTCAATATAAACTGCTGCTCAAACAGTAAATCATATTAATGATGATAACTGCTTAAAGTGTATAGCATTTATAATTTACAAGGCAATTTAACATTGTGGGTACAGTATAACCCAGTGCATATCAGGACTTGGTTGCCCTGCTTATCCTACAGACTATATGTTATTTTACTTATTTTCTTATTTGTGAAATCGGAAGCCAAGAGTAACCTCACTGGGTTGTGACAATTGAATGAAACTTTGCATGTAAAATGCACTGGCTGGTATATGGCATTTAATAAGTGATCAAAGAATGTTACTTGTGTGACACTACTGCTGCTGATGATAGTGGTGGTGGTGATGATGGTATCATTTAAACATTTGACTCGTTGAATACTGGCATCAATTTTTATCAATAGCTCTGGAAAATTTTATCACTCCCCTTTCTTCCTTCAGTAATTAAGGAGAAGGATAGTTAAGATTTAAGTTGTTATCTGGGATTAATCTTTTAGGTCCTTCGTGTCATCACTTTGCTATTCATAAATCTATGTCCCTAAATTGACATTCTTTGTCCACCAGAGCCCCAAACTTCCACTTCTCATCATCTACTCCTGGCATGGCCATTCTCACCAACCTTCCCTACTCCTAGTTCAGTATCAGTGCTAGCAGGCTGAATATTTATTACTCCCACAATCAGCATTATAGGTGAATATACCCAGGGAGTTCATGAAAATAGAGAAAAAAACCTTTTATTTCCCCTCTTCTTTTTCCTCTAAGGAATCTTCAGGTTTAGCCCAGTCGCTTTTAAAGATCAGCAGCACATATCCACTTAGGTTCCTTTATCAATCATGTCCATTTCAATACTAAAACCAATATGCTCCAAGAATACTAAGACGTGAAATGTTCCATGGGGCTTTTCTCCTCTAGTATACTTTCATTCAGAATGTTCTGCTCATCAAACTTATATTGGATTTTCACTTCAGCTCATTATTTCCATTACTTGGCCATTAACTTTTGTTAAAATATAATCACCCAGAAGCACTCCAGCAGTGCACAAATATTAAGCCTTCATTATTTCACGTTCAATTTCCTGTACAAAGACAAAGTGGACAAAGGCAATCTTGGCTAAAATAAAGAA